GTGGGTTCAAGCTCATTTGTTTTGGATAATTGGGTATGAAGGTTTAGTTTTTGGATATATTTATAAATATTGTCTTTTGCTCTGATTCGCATTGGATGATTTGGTCGTGGTGTAGGTTGGGTAGGGTGAGGGATGGTTGTTGAGGTGTTTGTAGTGAATGTTAAGGGGATAGATGAAATTTGAGAGTCATTTGTGGAATGGGGAGAGTTGACAGTTTGGTTTGTCACAGGTAGAGCCTATATTGAAGCTTCACATCGGGGTTGATGAGTACCAACTTCGGATGGTGATATATCAGACTGTGGAATGTAGACTTGTATTGATGCTGAAATCCATGTGGATAGAGTGGTAGAATTTGGATGATGATCTAGAGTAATTAATGATTGAAAAGGAAAGGTGGACTTAACAAACTTGACATGTCTAGAAGTGTAGATTTTGGTTGTGGATAGTTCATAACAAAAATAAGCACTTTGAGTGAGAGAATAACCAATAAAAATGCATGGTTTGGAATGAGATTCAAGTTTGTGGGTGATGTATGGACGAAGCCAAGGATAACATAAACAAAAAAATTTTGAGCTTTTAATAATTAAGAGAAGCCTCAAATATTTTTACATATGGAGAATTTTTTGTAATGTCGGGGTTGGCATACGGTTGATCAAGTATGCGATAGTGGCAAAAGCATGAGGTCAAAAAGTTAACAAAATAGAAATATGACAGAGAAAAGTGAGACCTATTTCCACAATATGGAGATAACATCGCTCAGAAAAGCCATTGTGTTAGAGAGTGTGTGGTGGGGTAGTAGAATGGGTTATACCATTGATAGCAAGAAAATTAACAAGAGCAATATATTCATTGTCCGAGTATAATGTTTTGATTTTTCGATCAAAATGGTTTTCAAAAATTGCTTTGAATCTTATGATGTCTTTTACTTCTGATTTTTTTTAGCGTGTAAAACCAAATGTACTTGGTAAAATATCAAGGAAAATAACATAATATTTGAAGTTATTGTATGAGACAACCGGTGAAGTCCGTACATCAGAGAAAATGATTTGAAGATATTGATTCAAAATCAAAGTGGACGAGGAAAACAGAAGCTTATGACTTCTGTTGCAATGACATGCATTACATGAAAGATGTGAGATCAAGGAAGATGATAAGTCTAAGTTGAACCTTGAGACAACATGTTTTAAGATGGGAAATACAAGGTTTCTTAATCGGTGATGCCACTCAATCGTAGTGGTTTTGACTTTTGACACTAAAGAAAGCAAGAGGTGAGGAATGGGGAAAAGCTTGGTCTTTCATATACATCATCCTTAGTTTGACTTGTCAAGAGTTTCTTCCTTGTGCGAAATTCCTTCATAAGAGAATAATGAAGTAAGAATTCAATGAAAACATTATTAGAAATGCAAAATTGAGAGATGAAAATTTAATTCTTTTTCATTTATGGAACATAAAAAACATTGTTTAAGGTAAACTAAGCAATGAGACTTTGAAGAAATGTGAAACCAGTATGGGTGATTGAAAGGGTAGTGCATCTCCAGTCATAATGTCGTCGGAGCCTGGGTATGGTGCATGTAATGAGAGATTGTTCAAATCGGAAGTGACATTGTGAGAAGCACCACTGTCCAATAACCAAGTTAATGTAGCAGAAGTATAGGTAGCAACATTTTCTCTTGGTTGCCATGGAGAGGTTGATGCTTGAGAACCGGAGTTGCTAGATGATTCAATTGGAACCAGGCGGAATAATGGGCAACGCTTGGTAGTGTAACCCTGAATTCGACAAATTTGACAGTAAACAAGATATAGTTACGGAGAATAACACTATGTTCGAGGTGTATTAAAGTTGTTTAATGAAACATAGTGATTGTGAGGATTGGATGATGAACGCCAACTTGGATTATGAGTGCTAATTGTTGAAGGTGAGAGTCAGTTGTTGATATGTCCCGCAGTAGCATCAGAGTTTGAAAAATTACGTCCCTTGGTGCAATTTGTTGGAGTAGCAGAAGCAAGAAAATATAAAATATATCTTTTGGTGTTCTACAGTGAGACTTCAACATTGATGAGTTTTTCATGTAATTATTCAAAGAAAATTGGATTGTCTCTGGCTTGGACTGCACGAACCAATTCTTTGTAGTCATCACCAAGATTATCTAAGAGTGAGATCTTCAGTGTCAACTAACGCGCCAAGAATGTCAAGTTCATCTGTTTTGGTCTTAACAGTTTGAAGGAATTTTGTAATGTTGAGCCCTTAATAAGATTTTTGAAGTGAGTTTTACTTGCTTAATTCGCCCGCAGGATTGATTCGCATAAGTGGTGGTTAATATTGTCCAAGTTTCTCTTGCAGTTTTGGCTCGTGCTATGAACGAGATTATTGTAGAGGATAGTGAACTAATAATTGCGTTCAAGATTAATTGATCTTGTCAAATCCATATTGTATAGGCGGAATTTGACGTAGTAATTTGATTTTGAGTGATAGTGATGCATGCTCATTTTCACCATTCACAACCATCATTTCTTTAGCACTCAATGGAGTCCTCTTAAACTTTATATTCTTTTATTTCTTTTATATTATTCTGATTTGTTTACATTCATAATCTATTTTTAACATATGGTGAACAATTCATATTTAGATTACTAATTATGTATTTTATGAATTAAGTAACTAGTTTATTTTAATCACATCTTTATGCTACTTGTTGCATTATGTTATTTCAGCTCATTATTAAGTATGTTATTGATTCATATTAGTTTTGCATTCGTTTAGATTGAGTTAATTGCATTCATACTATGGCAGCATGTTAATCCTTAATTTCCTAGCTCGTTTCAATTCAATTCAGCTCACAAATCATATATATTAGCTCCTTAATATAATATCATCTTAAACTTAGCTCATAATGTCATTCTTTAGCTCACAAGCATATATTCACACATGGCAGCATGCATTTGCATTCATTCCAGCTCAATGACTTTGATTTACCTTGTTTTCTTTGCACATGTAGGTACATAAAGGAACGACACACATTATGACAGCTTGGTAGATTGATTGGCACCCTATGCCAGCTCACAACTAACTCACAAGGTATATGGCAGCTCGTGGAAAGCAATGGAAAGCCCAATTCAGCTGGAGGAGCTAAGGCTAGGTGGACTATTTGAAGTTAAGTTGTTGAAGGTGACAACATGGGCAGCTGAAGGTAGCTAAAAGTGGTGCTAAGGAGCCAATGAGGTCTCGACTGGAAGGCTCACTCACAACTAACCTATTTGCTCAGCTAGCTACACACTCAATCAAGCTTAGAGGAGGACCAACGCACGCCCAAGGCTGTTTCACATGATCAGCCCTTCACCACATGTTTAAGGTTAAACCATAAGCTTCCTAGGGAGCCATGTGCATCTCATATGACTAGCAAGGCGTGTGCAAGGCATGTGGACTCTCTAGGCGCATCAAACATCAAGGGACCTCACCATTCGGCCAAGGCATGTATTGTTTCAATTGGGCGCCAAATTGAAAGGGTTCAAACACTATTTGACCAAAGCTCATGACTCTCCAACCTAGCCGAAACATCACCAATGCTTTCTAGTTAATTATTCAAATAATTATTTATTTTTAAAATGACACAAAGGCTGGTCAAATCACCATGTATCCATTCTACCATATCCCTTCATTTCTTATAAATAGGCTAGTCCATTTCTTTGTAAACATACAATTTTGATAATTAATTCAAGTGAGATTTCTCTTTCTCTCAAGTCCTTTGTGACTTTTATCGACTTATCAAGTGTTTCTATACTTGTGGCGTCCATTTTTTTCCATTTTAATACTTGTGGTTCCTAGATTACTATCTAGTGGGTCCAAGTCCTTTTCACCACCCCTTTTGAAAGCATATTGAGGAAGGGTCTCTGCTCTTTAGCATTGGTTCTCCTTAGAGTCTTTCTAAAGATACTATCTCAACACCATAGCCATTCTTTCATAAACCACCACACTTCCATCACTTAACCAAATTTTCATTATCATTAAAAAAATAGCCTACCATCTTCACCTACATCAACTACCAAATCACTCTGTTTGAGCCATTCACTTACTTGGAGGCTGTTTTGCTTCCTTCCTAGATCCATAATCAATTGAGGGCACATTACCCATACATCAGATAGTGACTAGTGAGTAAGGTTTTGATCCATCGATATATCTCAAAAGATCATATCTGACAAACAAAGTTTGAAACTGTAGTTTCCACGAAACATAATTGGTGGATGTGAGTTTTAATGGGATTTGGACTGCAACATTGATTGTAATCAAGGTATTATGAGGTTCGTTGGTATTTTGGATAATAGATATAGAGTTGTCGGTGTTCATAGTAATAGAGAAAAAAAATTAATGCGCTAGCAGAATGAAAAACTGATTCACTTTATTGATTACTGCAGTGCAGTTTATATACATAATAAAAGTATACCAAACTCTTTTAAATATGGAGTAAATCAAAATAATAAGTCAAACATTGAAAATTTAAAATGTAAAGGATAGAAATTTAAAGGGTAAACTACGCGAATAGTTTCATTTGTTTTCGGTATGATCGACTTTGGTCACCAATTTAAATTAAAGGTAAATATTCTCTAATGTTATCGATCCGTCCAATTTTATTCCCTAACCATTAAATCCCACAAAAGTATTACGTGATAATTTAAAAATAATAAATAGATTGTGAACCCCAAAATAGGAAGCAAACCCAAAGTAGCAGCGGTGCCTGCTGCCCTCACGTAGCGGTCCTAGCCTAAAAGTACAATTAATTTATTGTAGGTTTTAGAGTAATCTAATTGTATCCCAATTTATTGATTTATAAAATTAAATTAGTTTTCTTTTATACATGAAAATTAAAGAGAGTAAAATTGAAAGAGAAACTAACAAATAGTACATAATGTTTCAATCATGGCCAAGGTTTGACCCGAATCCGCTGAACATACCGAACCCACCTCCATTGGTATCGATGGACTCTGCATATGAACATCGCATGAGCCCTGAACTATACTTGAAGCAAACTGTTCTTGTTGCAAAGGTTCTAATCCGAATCCTCTGACCGAGCCAAACCGGCGCTAATGGACTTGGAATATGAACATCATCATATAAGGAGGTCGTGGATTAAGCTTGAAACAAACTGTTCTTGTAACAAAGGTTCCAATCCGAATCCGTGGACTGAACCAAACCACCTCCATCGGTGCTAATGGACTCTGCATATAAACGTAATGGAGAATGAAGCTTTTCTTTGCTGATTCCATTGCCATCTACATTCCCTGAATCAACATTGATGTCATGACTTTGGTTATTCACATTCAAGTCTTCCTCTTCGTCCGATAGGCATCTGCAGCTATCAAACTCATCCATCTCAAAAATGCGACTTACTAATCCTTCCCTCCAGGATATTCTCATTCCGGACTGTGACACATCCTCAAATGTAGAACTCGATGTCCACAAATATTGATCATCCAAATTTTGCTGAAATTGAGAAAGATCCATGGAATTGGAAGGTACAGATACAGACAGTTGATCAAACTTAATACTCGAACCAGTTGTATCCCATATCGATACATGGCTCTCGGGAGACAAGCTCGCCATCCGGAGATCTCCAGCCATTGAAAGTAGCACGGACTGATGATGATGGTGTCTCTTGTGGTCCTTCAAAATTGAACATAACAGCCTAACGGGCCTTTCAATGCTTGAATCTGAGTTTGGGGTTTGCATAACATTTTCACTCCCTAATGTATCTCCAGACAATGGAGAGTTTCGTCTATCAATACCGTAGCAGTGTTTTTCCTCTTGTTTAAGGGGAACGGCTCCGGAATAAGGTGTGGCATTTGGAGAAGACGAAACAAGAGGAGAACAGGCGGATAAACAATCTGAACTTAGTCGAAACCGACGACCTTGACTTGAAATAAGTAAACTATTTGTGCTCCTTCTGCTCTTTCCGGTTCCACCGTTAATAGCATCACTTTTGTCATTGCTAAAGTTACACCAATCAGAAGAAAAACCGAGATCAGATAATGGTGATGAAGGAGAAAGACGTGTTTTAAGTTTTCCGAGCAAGCCGTGCAACGAAGCAGAATTCTTGATTTCATTCTCGTCAGTCTCACGGCAAGGAGACAGAAGCCAATGCATTGAAGCCTCAGCAGGTGAAGGGAGCATGGAAACACTGAACTTGTTTTCGAGTCCGGGCTGATAATCTTCTTCAAAGCCATCACTTGAGATATCATTAACATTCGGCCCTGATTGATTTACAGCAAGTAAACCTCTAGCCTTACATTTTCTCTTGTCGGTCACCCCAGCAATGAGATGGCCAGCACTGTAACAGGCAGGAGTTGTTGCCATGGTTGCAGTAGACTGAATCTCGGGAGAAAATGAAGCTTGCAGGGGTGGTGTTTTGGTCTCATCATTGGGTCCTGATTGAGCTACAGCAAGTACACCTCTAGCTCTACATTTTCTCTTGTCGGTAACCCCGGAAATGATATGACCGGCAGCGTAACAGGCAGGAGTTTTTGTCATGGTTGCCGTCGACCGAATCTCGGGAGAAAACGAAGCCTGCAGGGGTGGTGTTTTAGTGTTCGGTTTCTCATCACTCATGAGCCTGTTTTTCCAATTACCATTGCCATCATTCTTAGTAGCAGCCATGGGAGTGAACCCAAGTTCCTCAGACTTCTCAGGCTGCTTCAACATGTCTCCTGACGCTGAATGCGACTCCATTACAGGATCACAAACGGCAGGAACTTTGGATGAAGTTGAAATTTTGGAAGATTGGGATTTCTTATCTCGGTTTAGTTTATTGGAAACGGGATCGGACAAAGCATTTCCCTTCATGAAACGGAATGGTTTGGAGCGAGGAAAACTCGAAACGGGAGCCGATTTGAGAGTTCCAGTGCGACAACGGCGATTCAAAGCAGTTTTGCGAGTACCATGAGTGATAGCAGCAGCAGCAGAAGATGGTGATGATGAACAGTGAGAGAGCAAGAGCCTGAGACAACCCTTTGTTGCTTCAATTGAAGAAGAAGAAGATGATGATGATGATGAAAGATGACTATTGTTTTCAACAGCTAGGAAAGCCCTTCTAGAACCCTGCTATAGAGAAAGGACACCATATAAATTATTCCATAATAGATATTTCCAGGATCTCATTGTAGCTAACTCAAGCTAAAATACTGATAATAGTAAGTGGATTAGAACTCACAGGACACTGATATGAATGGATATTAGACACATTAGAAGGATGTTCTCGTCGTTTGGCATTCGACAGCAGCTGCTCAGATTTAGAAACACCATTTTCTCCTCTTGCTTTACAAGGTTTTGACTAAGAAACGAGAGAAAACAAATATAAACATACAGATCAATGATCTAGTCTAGCTTCCTGCAACAATTATAATTTTGAATAAAAATTAGGCGGCGGTCGACGAGGAAGAGGACATACCTGAAGCATCCCAGGGGACGGGGGAGGGAGGAACATCCTGTGACTTTGGTGCTGCGGCGGAGGCATAGAGCGAGTTAAGCACAATTCCGGCGGCGGTGTGGATCTGAAGACTGCGGCGCCGAGAGTGTAGAGTTTACGAACTAAGCCAGTGGACACTGGCCAGTGGGTAGGGTAAGGCGGGCTAAAATTTCGAACTTTTGGAACTGGTTGGTAAACTGGACATGACCGTTGGTCTATAGTATTTCTTTTTTCGATACAATAAATTGTTATTGTTGCTATTATTTTAGGATTATTTATGCAAGATATCATTAAATTTTAGGTGATGTATCAATTGTACTGTTTAGCTTTCAATATTTTTTAGTTACAACATTAAATTTTGATTTTGACTTCAATTATATAATTGAAATCGATTATACCATTTAGCTTTCAATTTTTTAGTTTACAACATTAAATTTTATTTTTGACTTCAATTATATAACTGAGCCATTAAATTTTAGCGACACAGTGAGATGTATGGATCTTTCTATCATTGTTATAGTGTGAATAAAGTATTGTCATTTTGACACGTTTATTGATGCCCTAAGTGATGTAATTGGGCATTTAACTTTAAAGGGGTATTAGGTTTTCGTGATTAAATTTTTTGACCTCCATCGATAACTAATCATCGTCAATTATTAGTTGTCTTTAGAAATAATATCATTATCAAAATGTTTGTATTTCGCTCATTTTTTCTTCTATGATTATATTTTCACAAAAACCCCTCAAAATCGACAAAATTATGTTTAAATGTTTGTTGTGATAATACTTTTACCTCTTCTAATAATCGTCTAATGAGACAACTTTTGAAATATGTTATTCGTCTTCTTGGAACAATACTTCATACTATTTGAACTTTCGAGCATACACTCTAAACCTCTCGAATCTCGAAAAGGCCTAAAATCCCTAAATATGATATTTTTTATTTTTATTTTGTGGATTTTGAATGGATTTCACGAAAAACCAATTCTAAGAAAGAAATATGGTGAAATACGAACATTTTAGTATTGATCTTACCGTGATAGACGGTCAATGATTGGTTGTCAACAACAATAAAAAAGGTAAAATGTCAAAAAGTGAATTGTTTAATAGTTTAGTGACAAAATCAATACGTCATAAAGTTCAGTGTTTAAAACAATGTCGTTTTATCCAAGTCATATTATTTAAATTTTAACGGTCCAATGATATAATTGAAGTTAAAATCAAAATTTAGTGTTATAATTAAAAAAAATAAAAGTTTACGCAAAATTTAAAGTTTCGTGTAATTTACCATTAATTTATTAATCCATGTACAATATTATAATATGATTGTCCGTTGCATTTCCTTCTAGCATTAGCAAATTCTACGGGCATCGGTGAGAAACCAGATCCGATACGATGAATTCAATATAAAATTAAAAATGATTTATTTTTGAAAAAGGATCGGGTCGGGTCGGGTCGGATAGAGAAGCGTTATCCAGTATAAGCTTTGGTTTCAATTGGGTAGGCTCAGTCCAGTCCAGTCCAGGATCTAGAATCTTGATCTCGACTCAGATCACATCTTTTCTCTTCATTCTTTTCAGATCCATTTGATTCCCATTACCACCCTTCTTTCGAGATCCATTCTAATACATTCTTTTTCTTTTTACTAATTCAGGGAGAAAGAAAAAACATTTCCATTCCCCACAATTTTCTTTCTTTCTTTGATGATTTGTACATCTTGAAAATGGATCCACAGCCTTCCCCATCGGGAAGGTCCTCGACAGTTGCTCGGGCATCTTCGTTTTCCGTCGCCGATTCGGGTGGCCAAACGCTCACTTCCGTCCTCAACAACCCTCATGCTGGGAAATTGGATGCTTCTTGGGGTGGTTGGTGGTCCATCGCGCCGCCCGAATTCCTTCCCCTAACGCCCACCAAAGCCACCTCCGATCTCTCCCGATCCGATTTCCAATCGTACCTCACTTCCATTTCTGATTCCTACAATCGATTCGAGGACATTCGGAATCACACCAGTAAGGAGCAAACATTCGATGTCGATAACATTGGGGAAGCCCTCGCAGCTTGTTTAAGGGAGGTACCCGCTCTTTATTTTAAGGAAGATTTCGCTCTCGAAGATGGAGGTACCTTCCGGGCAGCCTGCCCTTTCAACGATATTTCTGAAAACATTATGCTTCAGGAGAAATTGTCCCAATACTTGGACATTGTGGAGCTCCATTTGGTGAAGGAGATTTCGTTGCGGTCCAATTCTTTCTTCGAAGCACAAGGGCAGTTGGAGGACTTGAATGTTAAGATTGTGGAAGGATGCAACCGGATTCGTGATCTGAAAGAAACTATTCGCCTGGTTGACACTGATTTGGTTGACTCTGCTAGGCAGATACAGGAGTTGAATGCCACTAGGACCAATCTGTTGGCTCTCCAACATAAACTAAAGCTTATTCTATCTGTTAACCAAGCGTTAACCGCCCTTAAATTGGTCAGCTTTTTAATTTCCATTTTTCTTATCACAAAGAATAACAGAAATGGAAAAATACAATATATATATATATATATATATATATATATATATATATATTGAAGAGACTACTTTGTTAATGTTTCAATATGAATTTGATTTAGTTTTATCGGAAATGCAGCTTGTTTCATCTGCAGAGTGTGCTGGGGCTTTGGATATTATCGATGATCTGCAACACTTGCTGGTATAGATTCATCTATCCATGTGATAAAGCTTCTTCTTCTTCTCTCCCCCCCTTTTTTTAAATGCATTTATGTTCATTTGCCTGCCTCATAGTCATAGGTTTAAGTTGTTGAATTGAATGGTAAAGTTATGCGACATTATATCTGGAGTTCCTGCCTTTGTTCTTTCTTTTATTTTTGCCAGATCCACATTGTTTCATTAATTACCTCTTGCAATTTCATTAAATAACCATATGTTTATTGGAGTTCAAATTTTTGTGAACTTATGGAACTGTGCCTTTTCATAGGATGGGGATGAACTTACAGGTTTACATTGCTTTCGTCACCTTCGAGATCATGTAGGTTCTTCTATAGATTCCATAAACAGGTATTTGCCCCCTAATGTGTGGTGACATTAATAAAACGGAAATGTTGTTTCACAAAATTTCTTCTTCTGAAATGATTCATTAGTTTGTTATATTACCAACATCCTGTACTCCTCTTGTCAGTATTCTTTCAGTAGAATTTATGCGTGCATCAATACATGATGCTGGGGATAAAGATGCAGTTATATTGTTGAAAGCAAAAGCCAGGGCATCGGTTTCCTTGAATGGAGAGGATGCTAGTGTAAGCTTAATTACATTCTTTTCTTCGTTTGGATATGGGATACTCTTGTTTTGCTGTTTACGTCTTTAGTCAGTAGTGTGTGATAAACTCCATTTTTTCTGAACCTTAAAAGAAAGCATCTGCATTGTTTGCTTAGTATAAACTCCATTTTTTCTCAACCTTAAAAGAAAGCATCTGCATTGTGTGCTTAGTTTTCCTAGACCATTTTGTTCAAAATCAATCTTGAAAATATAGAAAATTACTTATGAAATTTCTTTTGAACTGGGAACTTGATGCAATACTCTTGATAACTTACTAGACATTAGACTGACCATAATAGCTTTGCAAATATGATTTTCTTCATTTGATGATTTCATTATCTGCTTTGAACTTGACACAACAACTGAATATTGTAGTAGTTGGATTTCATAATTGATTTATTTTGAAGAATTTTGGAAGTTCTAGCCACCAAATGTATTGAAAGTAAATGAAAAAAAAGACGTTTTGCAGTTTTTTTGATGAAAGCTGAGTTCGGTTGCCGCCTGCTTTTATTACTTTCCCTTTGGTATCTGCTTTTGCTTCCTAAAAGCTGATGAAAGCCCAAAAAAAGATGCCAGGGTGTTGTTTGGAAATGAATGGAGTTTTCGTTATACTGTATTGTTTTTCACGTTAATTGGACTACAATATTGGTTTTATTCCTTGATTGAACCTGACAGTCTATTGATTCTAAACACACATTGAATGCTTGTTGCTTTTTACACTTTATTGTATGTATTTCTTCATTTATTATTACAATGCCTTGTAAGTTTGATGGTGTATTGGAACTTATAACTAGAATGGGTATGTTAGCAGGTTAAGTTGGATGAGGAAGAAACCACAAATTTTCGAGATTGTCTTCTGCCTCTTATCATTGGTTTGCTTCGAACGGTGAGTAATTTCCTTTCCTTTTATGTTTTTGAAGGTGAGTTGTACTATAGATGCATAGGTCTTTTGTTCTTCCATGAATGACTTGACATTAGGGAAAAGCTTCAAATTAGTGAAAGTTGAGCTACCCTGAAATTTGGCATGTTACTATGTAGTGTAGTAGCTTTTCTAAGTAGAATATTCCTACATGGGATGAAAGGGAGAAGTTAATTGATCAGTGCGGTTAGTACTTAGTAGGACTTATTTTTTTATATTAAAAAATTCTCTGGGTTTAAAAATGTGTTATAGTGATGTTTTCCCTAGAAGAGTGTGATTTTATTGTTTTTTTTTAACTCAAAATCAAGTAGGGCACATGCAGCATATAAAAGAAAACTTTTATGGAAAATATTTACTTGAAAGCTAATTCTGAAGGCGGTTGAGAAAAAGTTCGATGGGCTGTGCTTACTTACCCAAGCTTTAATGTAATGCATGTGGTTACTTCTCCTTGTTTCAATGTTAATTAGAAAAGATTGTTTGGAGGGGTATATAACTACATTAAAAGGGACATCGCAGCTCTGTGGTAGCTATAAAACCTCAATCTCATTTAAAATAATGAGACCTATATTTTCTAGGCTCATAAGTAATAGGCTGTTAGGGTCATGCATGTGGACGTCTCAATTTCGATTAGTAAAGGTGGGTGACTAAAATAGAATAAGCATGAAAACTTGACTGCCTGGATAACTTATCCAAGTTATTTTCTTCAATATCCTCCAAGAAAGTTCTAGAAGGGAGAAGACTGGTGCAGACCAGCAATTGCATAATCCAAGTTATTAATCTCATTTCTTTTTATCCTCTTACCTTTACCATGTTCGTAACTTTGTACTTCCAATTGTGGAATCTGAAGCTAATTCCACCGTGGAAGAAATGATCTCATAATATGGTGGTTGTTTTTCAGGCCAAGCTCCCATTTGTCCTAAGGAATTATCGTGATACACTCACTGCTGATATGAAAACTGCTATTAAGACTGCTGTTGCAGAGCTGCTTCCAGTTCTTGTGGGCCAACCTCAGGAGTCTGATATGGGTACAGAGCGCACTATGGATGCAGATGGTAAGAACTAGGATGATAAATCTTCCATATGTGTCTTCAGTATTGCATGTGTAGAATAATTTACTTTTTGAGCTCTCAGACTGTCTCTTTTTTATGGAGTGTTGTGGGTTTTTGTGATTGTGTGTGTCTCCTGTTCCTTCCAGTTGTTAATACTAACTGTCTGATGACTAAGGTGGAGGCTTATCACTTGCAAGCAAATTGAGGAGTTTGTCATCTGGAAGCTTTGTCCAACTTCTGGCTGCTATTTTCAAGATTGTACAGGTAATGTATACTTGCCTACTACCAGAGTAAGCATTAATTGAATTGTACGGTTATAGTAGGCATGATGAATTGTATACTACATATTGTTAGTAGTTTGTATTGGGTTTTGTTGTTTGGTGGTAGGTGTATGAATGTAATTGGTCTAATGTACTGCTCTTGTGTCTGGTTTTTTAGTAAAAAATTATTGGCACTCTTTTCTTCCATCCAATGTCCGCTGAGCTACCTATGTAGATTGGCGGTTATGATGGGGGTTTCTAACGAGGCCATCTTTCTATCAAAAAAAATTATATACTACATATGTTGTATGATGCTTAAATATGACATGCACACGCGCACAGCCGCACACTTTGTTAACAGTAAAGATACATCTAATAAAAGAAGTTTAAACGTAAATGAAACTAAAGATAACGTCAGTAAATCTCTCTCTCTCTCTCTCTGTGTCCGTCTTGGGCATGCAGGGTGTGTCCCTGATCAAATGTTCCTTGCCCGAAAGGTTCTTAGGCATCTCTGTTGTCTGTTGCTAAGGTGTACTCATTTACAACATTCTGTTTGACAGAACTGAATAGTGACTAGATTAAGATTAATGTTTCTTTGTTGTAACAATGTTATTATGGTCTATAAGAAAGGATGATATTAAGATAGTGTGGCACAGTGAGTCCAGATCACTATTTTAAGTTTACATCTAATCTTGGAATCTGGTTATCCTTGTCTTCTTACGAGACTGAAGTTATTAAAAGGTCATTGGGAAGAACAATATAGATTGTATCATATAGCTGATTAGCTGTGCATAAATTTATTTAAAAAGAAAATATACTGGAACATAATAAGATATAGTAAAACTGAACGGTTTAGCTTGCTGGAAAATAACCGAGCTTGTTGAGCTGTTACAATTTATCTGTTATCAGTGTTAGGGTTGTGACTGGTCCATGTATATGAATTCTATTAATGTGCTACTGGCTTTCCATGTGTCTCCTTTAGATATTATTTTCCCATATCAAAATTGGGAACACTCATTTTTATTTGACATAAAAAAGTCTCCTGTAACTGTCTTTCTTTGCTTGATTTATATGTAGTATATGTTACACTTGGTATGGTTCTCTTTCTGACAATTTCTAGTTTTGCTTGGCACTTACGTAAGATGTAATATGATTTCATTTCTTTTAGTGAATGCAGGCACATTTAATCCGGGCAGCTGAAGTGAAAAAGGCCATTGAGTGGGTAATGTGCAACCTTGATGGTCATTATGCTGCTGATTCAGTTGCTTCTGCAAATGCACTTGGTGCCATGGTTGCAGAATCTTCTCAAGAGAGTAATGGCCAAGGTTCTTCAATTTCTTTGAATGCATCTTTAAGGAGTACATACAAAAGTCTTTCATCCCCAGGGAAAGGAAGTGATGCACCAAGCCCTTCTAATTTGTCAAAGAATTTCAGGTTTAGCCATCTCATGTCCTTTCTAATTTGTATTGCTCTAACATTACTTGCGGTGGAATATTTCTCTCTTAGATTTTGTGGTCTTTTTGGTGGTTGGAGTAGATAGGGATGTGCTCTGGTGGGTTTTAAATTGCCTTTTCCCACTTTGCCCCTCCCTTGATCTTTGTTTCCCGTAAAAATTAATTATTTTGAAATAATCCCAACTTCCTGTTACTTGTTTTACTTAAGAGATGTTGTAAATACTGCAGAAGACATGGTGTTAAAATGTTTTAATTTAAAATAAATTTGGCAAAATAAATAAAATCTCATAGTTTTCCAAATGCTGCAGAATGTAGGTGCAAACATTAGCTCTTCTCAAATTAAATAAATTTGTGAAATTAAACAATATCATTTTTTTATTTCTACCTTATTTATGATGCTCTAGGAAAACTTTATCCTTGGCAGGGCAGATGTTTTAAGAGAAAATGCTGAAGCAGTGTTTGCAGCTTGTGATGCTGCTCATGGAAGGTGGGCAAAGTTGCTTGGGGTTCGTGCTCTTCTTCATCCTAAGCTGAGATTGCAAGACTTTTTGAGCATATATAATATCACTCAGGAGTTCATAACTCTTACAGAGAAGGTATTCATTGTTTCTTCTCTAGTGAAATAAAGGATTCAATTAATTTGTCTGGGGTTGTGAACTTGTGATAGTATTGTATGCAAACTTTTAATAGATTGGTGGAAGGTTGGGATATAGCATCCGGGGAACACTGCAGTCACAGGCCAAATCCTTCGTTGATTTCCAGCATGAATCTCGAGTTAGTTCCTGATCCCAATTACCAGTTGTGTTTTGATTGCTTTTTGTGATACTGGAATGATTTTTGTTCGTATCAACTGTAGATGACAAAAATAAGAGCGGTGCTTGACCAAGAGACATGGGTGGAAGTTGATGTTCCTGATGAGTTTCAGGCAATTGTCTCTTTGCTGTTTGATTCTGTAAGCAAGGCAGAAAGCCACAGCAATGAGGGTTCACAAGTGTCTGAAATTGGATCACATGGTTCTGTGGAGCAGAATGAGCAGATTGATTCTAGTGGTACAGCTGCAGTAAATGCTGCCCAAGGGAAGGCTGAGGTGACTGAGAGAAAGAAATTAGATGCTGTAACTTCATCACAGAGTAACAGCAGTAATACAAAGGAACGTGGAAAAAATGCTACACAAACACTTGAATATGGTGGTGTTAGTTATCACATGGTAAACTGGTTAGTTATTCTGTTTTCTTTTACCTTTATGTCCTATCGTTTCCAACAGATATGGAATTTAGCTGTTGAGTATATAATTCTCTCTCAGGCTCAAGCATTCTACTGTGTTTAACTATTTGTTTATCTTTACTATATCTTGTGCATTTATACTCATATCTGCCATTCATACGCTTGTTTTTTTAACAAGAAGATGCGTCTACTTGATAAACTAGCCTTGATGCCATTTGTTTACTTTCTCGTCCCTTTCAGTGGCTTAATATTGCTGAAGATGCTGTCGGAGTACATTGACATGAATCATCTTCTGCCAGCACTTTCCTTGGAGATTGTTCATCGTGTTGTGGAGATTTTAAAATTTTTCAACACTAGAACTTGCCAACTTGTTTTAGGTGCTGGAGCCATGCAGGTATGAAATAGTTTTCTAGCTAGGATGTTCTTTCTTACAGTTTTACTTGAGAACAATTTGATTAAACCTGAAGGGTTATTGGTGAGACTAGTAAAATCAGATGTCGTTTATCCCTGTGCATGTTTTTTTTTGAATCTGGGTTGTGATTAGAAACATCGTGAACCTATACTGAGAATGCTATGATATACTCTATATGAACTCACTTATTGTCAAAAAAGTTTTATCGGACTCAAATGGTATTGCAGGTTTCGGGGTTGAAGTCCATTACTTCTAAACACTTGGCCTTGGCAAGTCAAGTCATTAGTTTCACATATGCCATTATTCCTGGTAGGTTATGAATCATGTTTCCGTTTTGTGCTACTTTTCCTAAATGTATCAACTGCATCATCTTGTTAGCAACATTTACTAGGTACCCTATTGCAGATTGAGGCTCAATTTTTCCCAAGATTTTTTTTTTCATTTGTTTGGAGGACCATACCCACATACTTAGGTCTAATTATATGGCAGACACCAGTAAATGTGGAGTACGATAACTTCGCTATGAAATTCTCTTACAAACATGTGTTGTAGTGCCTCACTTTTAGCTGCCTCATAACCATTGTTTATTCAAGTTGTGCAGTCCTTAATGGTCTTTTATCTGTAATATATTTTACCAATTTGAAGAAGGAAATGAAACATAGATTACTGATGAAGTGTCAGATGTTCATTTATGAGCCTTTTTTTTATAAGATTTGAAGGCCTCATTAAAAACCTCCTTCTTGATTAATGGAGCTTGTATAGAAGCTTCTTAATCATCTGAAGGAGGAAAAGAGTGCCTTATAATTTCATTATAGAAAATAAAATTACAACCTTGGAACAACTATTCCAAAAAACCCTTACAAACAATACAGGAGCCAGAAAACCAAACTAAAGAAGCCAACAACATAAAAATCAACCTATACCAGCCTTTGCTAAACCATCAGCATCCATATTCGTTGTCCTTGCAACCCATCTAACAACCCCCCGAAAGTTCTAAGACTATCAACAATATCTCTAACAATAAAACCATATACAATTGAACATGAGTCAACATTATTTATCCAGTCTACTGCAACCCTGCAATCATTCTCAACGATCAGCCTATCTTTAACCCTCCCTTGAAAAGAGGCAAAGAAAGAAATACCCCTTTGAATAGCTTTAAGTTCCTTCAATGTTGGAGGTCCTGAACCAGCAGGCTCCTGAAAAGAACCTAGGATTGCACCAGATTGATCCCTCATAAGACCTCCAAGACCTGATTCCTTCCAATCATTGCTAGTGGCTGCATCCACATTTACCTTGACGAAACCCATAGGGGGAGGTAACCAAGGGATTATAGAAGACTTCAAGAAATTGTAGGACGAATAGGAATCTCCCATAGAAGGATCAGAAATTAAATAGTCCTTAGTAATAGAAACATCCTTATTCTTTGCTAGAAACCAAGAGGCCAACTTAACTCTTGTTAAGAAAAATAATTCAGACTGATCAAGCTTTCCCCCTTCAAAAACAATAAAATTTTTGATTTTCCAGATTGACCAAATAACAGCCCCAGGAATGAAAGTCCATATTGCAGAATTGGATTTCAACTCATCCCAAGCTAGAAGAAAACTTTTTGCTTCTGCAGGAAACACAGAACTAAACCTCCAAAAATTTAGAAATTTGTTCCACAAAGACCACGCAACCGAACAAGAAAAGAATAGATGCGATGAAGTTTCTTCAACCATTCTACAAAGAGGGCATAACTCATCCTCAATACCTTGAACACCTCTTTTAACCAATTCGGTTTTAACAGCAATTTTGTGAAGCACAATTTGTCACACTAATGTTTCAACTCTAGGGGGAACCAATCCTCTCCAAACAATTTTATTCCAGAAATGAACATCTTCTGAACCTGATCCACACCTCTCAACACAAGAACCGACTGTATAAACACCGTCTCCACTACCTTTCCAAATCAAACCATCACTAGAATCAAGAGATAGAGAAAAAGAAGAAATGACGCTCACCAAATTACACCATTGTTCAAGCTCCCAATCATTTAAATTTCTTCGAACTTGAACATCCCAAATCCAGCCCGAAGAAAGAAATTCCCCAAACTCACAAAGTTTACCGTATTTATTAGTAGAAAGCGAAAACAGTCTAGGAAACAATCTGAAACGGAAAATCAGCAGCCCAGCTGTCTTGCCAAAATCGAACATGCTTACCATTTCCAACGTGAAAATTGCACAAACTACGAAACTTAGAACCAAAGGAGTCTTGTTTGTAATGGTTATTAACCACTGATCTCCATAACCAGGAAGATTGAGTAGAAATCTTGCTATCAAACAGTAATCTAGAAGAATCAATGTTGTATTTGCTACAAATAAAATTCCTCCAAACATAACTTCTCTCATTTGCAAACCTCCAAGACCATTTCCCTAGCAGTGCCCTATTCATACAAATCAGATTTCGAACTCCCAAACCTCCCTCATTCTTTGATCTGCAAACATCATCCCATTTAACCCAGTGTATCTTCTTATTACCATTTCCCCCTCCCCATAAAAATTAGACATAATTGAATTTAGAGACTTAAGGATAGAAGCTGGAATCTTGAACAAAGATAAAAAATACGTAGGCAGTGAGGAAAGAACCGATTTGATCAAAACCAATCTCCCTGCTAAAGATAGAGTAGCAGCCTTCCAACCTGCTAATTTAGAGTGAAAATTCTGCACCACTGGTTCCCAAATAACAGAGGAATTCTTAGTAGCACCTAGAGGGAGGCCTAGATAATTAGAGGGGAAGTTTCCCACTGTACAACCAATAGAATCTGCCCAAGTCTTAACCTCCTGTTGGGGAATATTAATCCCGAACAATATGCTTTTCTTAAGGTTCAGTTGCAGCCCTGACATAACCTCAAATACTCTAAGCACCCTCTTCACATTCATAATTTGAGTCTTCGAAGCTCCACAAAAAATAATTAAGTCATCTGCAAACTGCAAGTGCGTAAGATTAAAGGACCCTTCTTCCTTGCCAACTGTCATACCAGAAAATAATCCCTCAGAAACAGCCCTTCGGATTAATAGATTCAGTAATTCCCCAACTAGATTAAATAATAAAGGTGAGAGTGAACATCCCTGTCTAAGACCCTTGGCCATTGGAAACTCCTCGGATGGAACCCCATTGACTAAAACAGAAATTGAAGCTGTAGAAACACATCTCCTAATCCAACTTATCCAAGTGAAACCGAATCCCATCTTTTCCATCACCTTGAACAAAATAGGCCAGTCAACCGTATCATATGCCTTTTTAAAATCAACTTTAAAAACACAACCTTTTAGCCCTTTCTTCCTCCAATAATCAATACCCTCGTTAGCAATGAGAGAGCAATCCAAAATTTGTCGACCGGGTATAAAAACAAATTGAGTCGGGCTGATAATATCTCCTATGCAACTTCTGAGCCTCCTTGCAAGACACTTGGATAATATCTTATAAACTCCTCCTACTAGGCTTATGGGTCTGTAATCATCAAGGCTTCCAATGCTTGATCCCTTCGGAATTAGGGTGATAAAAGTATGGTTAATACCATGCTCCCAATCCTTCCCCACAAAGAATCTGTGAAAAAACTGCATAATGTTTCCCTTAAGAACAGACCAAAACCTTTTAAAAAAACCCATGTTCAAACCGTCTGGCCCCGGAGCTTTATTACTGTCGCAAGACTTTATAGTCTCCCAAACCTCCTCGGAAAAATCCTTCTCCAAAAGCATATTCTGTTCGAGTGAAATTCTAGGAAAAACCAAATCAATATCCTCAACGTCTAAAGTAGACCGATCATTGAAAATTTTGAAAAAATGATCTTTGACCTTGGCCTTGATAACAGTTGGATCATGAGTAATATTCCCATCAACTATTAAAGCATTCAAAGCATTTCGTTTTCTTCTAACTGAAGCACAAGTATGAAAGAATCTTGTGTTTCGGTCCCCATCATTAATCCATTTCTTCCTAGAATTTTGAAACCAAATCTGCTCCTCAATTCTATGAAGTCTCCATAATTCTGCTCTACAAACACTAATCTCATCAGCAATCCCCTGAACAGAATTGACATTCAATTGCTGGGCATCCTCCTCATGCTTTTGAATTTTCTTTTCTAAATCTGAGATTGCTGCTCCCGGAAACTGGTTTTTCTTCCCTGCCCATTTTTTGATGGTTGCTTTAGAGTTCCTCAAAATACTTAAGATTCCACCTTTTCTCCCAGGCTTCTTACAATCTGTAATGGAATGTCTGACCATTTCCTCAAAACCGTCCTCCTCCATTAGATAATTAAAAAGTCTAAAAGGCCTTTTTCCCCAATCAATTCCTTCATCTTGTAATAAAATAGCATTGTGATCCGAAATGGATTTAGGAATAAGAGACTGAATAATCTCGGGAAATGTAGCCAAAAATTGACCATCCACCAAGAACCTGTCCAATCTAACAAATGTTGGATCATCTTGGTTATTACACCAAGTGAACCTGCCCCCATTCAAAGGCAGATTAATTAACCCTAAAGACTGAATAAATTGAGAAAAAAATCCTCATTGAGAATCTATTTTGAGCTCTACCCACATTCTCATCTTCACACAAGTATACATTAAAATCCCTCCAATACAAATCGGCAGATTCTGTCCAGAAATGAACACCCTAAGTTCTTCAAAAAAACTTTCTTTTTCTTCCTCCACTGAGGGCCCATAAACATTTATAAGAACACTTCTGAATTGATGCAATCTGAATTTCCCTACAACAGCAATGAATCTTCTGTTAATGCAGTGATTTTCCATCTCAAACACATTTTCATCCCAACAACATAATAAACCCCCTGAAGAACCAACAGCTGGAGATTCAATGACACCCTGAAAAATATTCAGCCCATTCCTTCTCAGAAAAGATCTTTGTAACTTCTCTGCTTTAGTTTCTTGTAGCCAAAGAAAGGAAGGATATGTGCTAGAGACTAATCTCTGAACTGCTTTCTGTTTTTCTCTTCTTCCCAAGCCCCTTACATTCCATGAAATTATTGCTAATTTATCCTTCATTAATATTGCTTGAAAAACTGACTTCCCCACTATGGCAACTCAATTGGCCATATTCATGCCCTGTTCTAATTTAATGATTTTATCCAGAAAAGCTTCCTTCCCCTCGGTAAAAGAAACCCCCAGAATCCGACTCACTTGCCATGTAGTTACTGCTTCATCCAAAAGCTCCAAAAACTCTGAAGAAGATGCTGTATAAATGTTAACATGTTCTAGAGCTTCTCTTACCAATGATCTTTTTGCCCTTTTCTTACAAAAACCAGATTTGGAATTGAACATATGTCTATCCTTAACACAACCCTCTGGCTCTCCATCAAAACTACTAACCCCAGCTGCTTCTACTAAATTTGTCTCCTCTCTGCCTTGAAAATTAAACTCTGCTGCTGTAGAAATCTGATGAACTGACGTGCAGACCTGATTATTAACTTTCTTTGGATCTGAAACAATCTCTGTTACATTAATTCCCTTTGGATTCTCCCCATGCCAATATTTCCTCTCCCTCCTTCTATAAACTATTCTGTAACTGGCCATTTTCCTTCTCTCAAGAGGCTCACTTTTAGTAGATAACGAGCTTCTATGCACCACCATCACTTTATTTCTTAAGTGGCTCTTCAATAATTCTGAATTAGGATCTATCAGCGAAAAGTTAGATTTAGAATCCTCAATATCTTCACTGGCAGACGAAACTGAAAAGAAGGTGGTCCCCTTATTCTGTTTTTTAACACTGCTAGCCTCTTTAATCCCTTTGTTCTGAACCAATTTACCAAACTTGTCAATTGTATAGCCTGGCCCAGAAGGAATTATCTTATTAGCCTCCAACCCAGACAGCTCATTGTCATCGTATAGGGACTCAGACCCATCAGCCGAAATATTTGAATTTCTGATGCCCAAACCTGCAAAATCACCTACTATGATATTCCCACCATTCTGAACACCTGACAATCCTCTTTTAATGCCTTTCCCATGTTTAGTACATCTTGGAAAGTGAATTTCCCCATCAGACTGTACTGAGCCGAAAGAAGCACCATCATCACTCCATAAGTCAACCTTCTGTCTGAACATCTCTGCTGATTTGACAGAACTTTCCTCATATTCTGACTTCTCCCAGTCTCTACCTTCCTCAGACCTCAACTCGCCAGACTGCTCTCCAACTGCTCCGTTCGCCGGAGAAAATTTGAAAAAAGGATTTGAATCTTCATAGCCCGATCCAACTTTGATCCTAACTCTATACGATCTGCCATAGGATCCAAAAGTAATGAATTCTGGAACATCGAAAAGACTTGCAACTCTCAAAAGAATCCTCGCAGACGTGAGATCCTCCCTTTTCTTAGTGGAATCATGGATTTCTACCATATTTCCCCATCTCCCAGCAACTCGTACCAAGAAGGATTCATTCCAGCATAACAGAGGAACACCAGTTAACTCAACCTGACAAAAGGCCATCGGAACTCCATCTTCATTCAGTAAAGGGGCCACTCTGTCAAACCAGACGCCTATTTCATTTTCCTTCTTTGTCCATGCCTCCATCATCTCTTCATAAGATTTGAAAATGATAGCACATGAATTTTGGACATAACCCCAACCAACAACCTGTACTTCATAACCCTTATCAATGAAAGCCTCCTGAACTGACTTAAAATCAAGGGAAAGCTTAATAATCCCTGTTAAAGATCTCTTTACCCAGCTCGAACTTTCATTAGGAATATGCATTTCCAGAACATTCTTCCTAGCTTTCTCCCTGTGGCTCCCTTCAGAATATGACTCCTTGTACCCCAATGCATGGTTCTTCATAGCATTGGACAGTAAAGCATCTTTGTACGATCTGTCATCCCTAACATTCCTTCTGAGAAGATCAACCTCCTTTCACTTAGAAGGTCCTGCTGTAAACGAGTCTGGAACCATCTTAACTGGACTATTCCTTACCTCTTTCCTTGGACGAGCAACAGTGTATTTTGCAACTCCAACTGTAATCCTTCTCCCATCTATCAGTGAACCATTTAACATATCAATAGCCCTCTTCAAACCAGATTCCCTCTCAAACTGGATAAAAGCGAAAGTGGAGAATCTATATTTTGGATTTCTAGTTTCTTTTGGGATGAAAACTCTCACCACTGTTCCCTGAGCCGAAAAAATACCCCTAAGCTCCTGTCGAGACACTCTCCTACTGAGGTTATCTACAAAAGCTTTCCAGACCTCGTCGGAATCAGACTTCCCCTTCAACTTTTCTCTCTCTACTACTCTCTCACCCATTCTCGTTTTCTTATTTCAGAAAGCTTTTGTACCAAGGAAGTTTTTTGAGTTCAAACTATATATGTTATTTGCCTGTAACAATTAGAGTTTTGACATCACACTGTTTCCAGATATATGTACTGTATTTGCTTTCTTGTTTATCTCAATCATGTTCTCCCCCCCCCCCCCTCTTTGTAGTATCCTTAATCTATTGCATTCTGAGTTCATTATTGAAAAATAGTATGTTGCTGATTAATTGATGTGTGCTTTGTTTCTGGTATAAGAATTGAAGCAAACTTTGTTCCTGAAAGTTCCTGAACCTCGAAAATCACTGTTGCTTTCGGAGTTTGATCGAGTTGCACAGGTATAAGGCTTTATCACTTTTCTTGTGTTTTTCATTTTCAAAGTTGTTTAGCTTTTTGTTTCTATTGTCTGCTTGTGGTATTATCATTTTTTCCCCGTCAAATTGAGTAATGTATGCACTAAAACTTAAGTCTAGAGGAATTAATTTTCTGTCTGGAATTAACTTTCATGCTCCAACTTTCATTTTTCCAGAAGTGGTCATGCCTGCCACATATTAAGGAATGTGGGTATTTCTCACCCCCTAAATATAATGAAGATCTTAGGAATGATTTTATGTAACTCACTCAGATAAAGATGTATCTGACAGTCCTGAGTCTAAGCATGGGAGATTGGATACGATATTTCTTATTATTAACTAATATGATTGTTTACCATATATTTAGGTTTAAGAGTTTATCACGATGTGGATTATCTTTGACACTGACTCATAGTTACTAAACTATATTGGCTAGCTTATAGAAATGACTTGAGGCATCTGAGAAGAAAGTTCTTGCTAAGAAAGTTGCATAATTTCAATCTGTCCTAGTAGTCTTTATTTGCTAGAATTTAATGTAGTGGTGCCAAGTTCAACATTTAGTTAAGAGAAACAAAGCTAAGGATTGCTGATTGATATGTAAACCTACATAATCATCCAGTGGCTTTCTAGTACACTTAAGATATTGAAGGCGATCACAACTGGAGAAACTTTATGGATACACACACATATTTTATGGAGGACAAGGAACCTTTCGAATGTGAATAGATCATATAATTGGATATTTTATTAAATTTATCTATTATTATAGGTGTAATTTCTATATTTGGAAAGATATTTTGACATGTGGCTATTATGTTGCTTTGGAAGTCTTTCTTTACTGACAAGTATTCAGTGATACATATACATTTTTCCATTTTGCCTGTCCCTTGGTACACATTCTTTGTACATCTTTGACTGTTTTCTCTAAATTCAGGATTATATGGTTCACCGAGATGAAATACATACAAAGCTTGTTCAGATAATGAGAGAGAGGTTGTTGGTTCATCTGCGAGGCCTACCTCAGATTGTTGAGAGCTGGAATAGGCCAGAAGATGCTGACCTACAGCCCAGTCAATTTGCTAAGTCCCTTACTAAGGTAACTACGATGTTTTGCTTAATTAGACTCAAGGGGTTCTTACCTTGTTTAATCCTTTTTTTTTTTGTCTCTGGTGGATTCAGTTTAGAAAAACCACTTTATTAGTTGAAGAATCATGAAAAAATTATGGGAGTAGAATTCCTAAGTGAAAACCCAAATTATGCCACTAGTTTTTTTTCAAGTGTAACTAGTTCAATATTTTTGTACATTTGACTTGAATTGCAATGGATGGATTGATTTTGATTGGCTGTTTAATTGGTTTACAGGAAGTTGGATTCCTCCAACGTGTTTTATCTCGAACATTGCATGAAGTAGATGTTCAAGCAATTTTCAGGTGAGGAGAATTTAACCCCTATTTTAGTCACTGGACAGTTTGTTGTTTCATTATCATGATGGATAAAATTGTCTTACAATTACAACCACTATTTATCATGAACCTGTTTGCAATCTGTTTAGAGAAATGTTCATAATGTTCTTCAGATCAAGAGAGTAGTGAATCCTATTTGAAGTGTAGAAAGATTTTGGGAATTCAGAATGGCTCCCATATATTCGTTTATATTCCTTCTTGCCTATAAAATATATATGAGAAGGGATCCTTTTATCCCCCGTTAAAAACTAGCGAATTTTGCTTGTCCTGTCCTTTAGTCAGTTCTCCCCCCCTTTTTCTCTTTCGTTTAATGACAGCAACTTTTGTTAAAACACCTAGAATCATTAATCCCGTCTAGGTGAGCTTTGATAAGATGGTGCATTATTACACGAGTACACACGGAAAAGAATATAATATTCGCTTCAAGCAACTCTTGTTTTTCTTATTAATTTTATGAATGTTAAAGGTAGATGATTAAATTGGTGAAATAGAATTGTTCCCTTATCCTCCGCAGGCAAGTTGTTGTGGAGTTCCATTCACAGATTTCGGAAGCATTTTCACGCTTAGAGATCAGCACTCCTCAGGCAAAAGATAGGTATTGTACAGTGTTTCAAATTTCGACATGAATTGAAATACAAGTATTTTGTTTGTCTTACATGTGTAATTGTTAATTTTCATGACAGACTGCATCGTGATGTTACACACATTCTTGGGTGCATTCGATCATTGCCATGTGATAATTCAAATAATTCTGTTACCCCAAACTGGGGGCAACTAGATGAGTTCTTAGCGCAAAGTTTCGGGACTGAATCCGGCTGAGATTTGTGGTTTTGTACAGTAGAGACTTCCACCCACATTTGAAAGGAGATTATTATTTTTTTTATGAGAAACCAAACCAATCCTCGGCCTACCCTACTATGCAAATTGTTTTGTAGAAGTACATTAAGGTAAGGAATGTATGAATCTAATCTGTTTCTCTAGATTCGATTGTCGAAATTTTTGTCAAGTTAGACAATCACAACATGTTATAAAAAAAAAAAGCTTGCTTTGAACTTTCACCATTGGTTGTGAGACTGTGTACTACATAGATATACAAACTGAACAGTTTGTTAACCGCAACATATCCATCCTGTCCTGTCTTTTAGTATTTGCAACATCCTGTCTTACGTGAAAATGGTGGGTTACTTATCAAACAAAAAGGCAAAGCTCCGGTTGATGTTTCTAAATGATGCAAAAGAAGCAACTGTTGAAGAAATAGCATCTGACCAGGAAAATAGTTGACAACAATATCGAACTTAAGACCTTTGAAATAATATCATTGTGTTTACCACTAAATCAAGTTTAAGTATTTGTTCAAATAATTATTTATTGATTCCCTACAATTCCAATCCATTTTCATTATTAATTTTAATTTAAGCAGAAATGGATTTTCTATCAATTATAAAATAAATATTTTGGTTGATTAAGTGACTAAATCTTTAATTTTTAAAATTTTATTATATATATATATATTTTTTTAAAATTTCTTGAATGGCTATCAATAAGTATTATACAAATTTATTTAAGTAAACACGTCAATAATTTTATTAATAATTAATCATTGTTGACTCGATAAAATAAATTAAAATTTTAACTAACAAAAATAATATTTAGTGATCAAAATATCACAAGTTAATACCTATATGATTTAAAAGTAACAATAACAAAACAATAACAATTGGCCCAAATAAAAGTTGGGGTCTTGCGGATATGAACATTAAGGCCGCTCTGATACCATCCCTTCCTTTGCTATTCTACTGACAGAAGCAGCGAAGAAGAAATGTTGAGGTCCATTGCTAAACGATCCACGCTCTTAAAGCCTCGCTCTTATACTCCGCTGCTCGTCTCTTCTCAATCAAAGCTCTATTCTTCCAAGACCGAAAAGTCCAAGACCAAATCTAAGTCTAAGTCCAAGACCTCCGATTCCTCATCCGCCGTTGCATCTCCACTGGCGATGACCTCGAATCTGCTGGCGCCGACGACTTCGAGGATGCTCGAGCCGGCACCTTGTCGAGGACGAGAATGATCCTTCTCTAGATGTTGGTCCCAATGGACGTCCCTTGTTCACCTCGACTCCCTCACTCTCCCTTCTTACTCGGAAAGATTGTTGCTCCTACATGAAGCTCGGTGAGGAAGGGTTGAAGCAAGTTCTGCCGGAGGGATTGCCCATGGAATAGAGACTGAGTTCAAGGAGTCGAGGTCAGCACTGCTTGTTCGACAGAGTTTCTTGGACTTCGTCTCCAATTTGGTCTTCTCATGCTAAAGGTAGGCGGATCTTCATCTTTTCTATTTTAAAGTTTCATTTTGAATATGCCTTTCAGGGAATATAAGCTATTTACATGTATAAAGGTCACTTGCTATTAGATGGTTGTGTTGCTAATAGATTGCGTTTATGGTGTGAAATGATTGCCATCTTCAGCTCCTAAAACGAGAAAGCAAGTAGTATTGGACGGTCCAGTTAGCTGTGGGAAGAGTATTGCACTAGCAATGCTTGTGCATTGGGCTCGTGATGAGGGCGGGCTTGTTCTCTATGCCCCTAGAGGTCGTGAGTGGACCCATGGAGGATTTTTCTATAAAACCCTGAAACAGGTTTTGGGACACATCCCTACAGGCTGAGAGTGTTCTAAAGGCAAGTCCCGAATACACTCGATATTTTAAGTAAGCCTGAGTAAACAAATACACTCGATGTTCATTCGTTTTTGTGGCATACTATTCTTCATGAGATCAGGGAAGCTGAAAGTTTAGTTGTTGATGCCTCTCCCCTTTTTACTGGAGAGAATTTTAAGTCTTCTTGGTTTGTTATATGATGAAATGTTCTTGGTGGGTTATATTTCTGCAGGATTTTCTGAAATACAATGAATCACGCATACAATCATTGCTATGTCAAATTTTTTATCCTATTAGGTTGGGAGAAGGTGCTGGTGTTGGATGGATGAAAGGAGTTGAATCCATGGCCGTCCCCAAAGGTGCAACACTGTATGACCTGATTCAAATGGGAATCAAGTACACACATGCAGCTGTTGGAGTTGTAGTTCGGTTGAGAGAAGAATTATCACTTGTTAAAGATGTCCCCGTGCTTATTGCTATTGACCAGGTTGGCACCACACTGTTATTGTTCCTAGCTACATGATTAAACTCTTTTTTGAAATTATTTTGACTGATGTATCTCGTTTTGTCTTCAGTATAATAATTGATTTACCTTCAGTGAGTATGAGGAGCCAATGTGTTTGTTCTTGTCGACCAATTCATGCTAGAGAACTTGCAATGGTTGGTATCGACTCTTTTGTTTCATTTATATTGCTTAGTGAACTGTGTTCTTTCTTAGCATTAGGATTATGCTAATCCTTTGTGAGATGCTAGAAATATAGGTATTAACTTTGTGTGTTTCACCATCTGTATCTAACAGTAGTGTCTCTTGCAGCTTCACTATTTTTTTTTATCATTTTATATTTATTGTGCAGGTGAATGCCTTCAGGTCCATGATGCATGAAGACATGATGGATGGTGCTTTCTCTCATTCAACTGCGGTGGGAAAACTTCGTCTAGAGTTGCCAAATGTACCTGTAGATGCCTGTGTTAACATGCCTCGTTATAGTCCTGACGAGGCAGAATCTGTTTGCCATTACTACCTCAGGTATGCTGTGTTGTGAATTTCATTTGGATTTTGCTCTTGTATATTACATGGTGGAGTTACATGGTTTGCTGTTAACCTCCTATACACATTGCAGGCAAAGGCTTATACGAAGGGAAGCATTCTCGGAGGAAAGCTGGAAAAAAGTGTACTACTTACCCAATGGAAACGGTGCAGAAATGAGATGGTTACTTCCTTTGATGCGGTAAAACATATTTTAAAGACCTGCATCGATAGATCGTGTCTTTTTTTCTAAAATCTTTTCCAAATAATATGGTGAGACCATGTCATCATTTTATTAGTCTAGAAACCTTTTTTCTTTTCAGAAATGATTGAACTGAAAGAAAATTTTCTTATGTAAACAAACTGCATATCGTCTCCCCTTGATCTACAAGGTGTTTGTCTTCAACAGTTAATGCAGTATCACACATTTCCATCATGGCATCCTGATTCGGAACCATACATATTTGAATTTATCTCCATGTTTGTCTTAAAATTGTTTCCCATCAGAGATATTGGGTGTAATATGTAACATCTCATCTATTATCATCAAGCCGGGTCAGCATCGAGACCTCATTTTTGATTGAGTAGTGAAGACAAATGAGAAGATCCGTGACGAATGTGCCAGCTGCTGTAGTAATTCTTTCTAAAGGATTGGATTTGATTTGTATCCCGAGTATTGAGTGTGAGTTGTGGCCTAAATTCCATGAATCAGATGTTCAATGATAAAAGCAAAAAAAAAAAAAAAAGTCCCATGTTCTGTATATTTCTATTGCAAGTTCAAAGCTTACATTGTGAAAGGCAAACATCTATAGCCTTTCAATGATCATATTTCTATTTTATATTTTCGTGGACTTAATGAATGCGTTTGATACGGGTGATTATTTTCTTTGATGTACCATAAAAAAAACGAGCATAGAAAGAAACCCAAGCTAAATCTGAAACTCTTCCATTCATTCCATAATGTGCTTCATTTTACAACAAGTTGTGAAGAGATAATTAAGCCAAATACAAAAACGACTCAAAACAGGGAGGCCAACGAGAGATTAAATTCCCTGAACATTTGAATCCAGTCAGTCCCTAAGGATCCGAATCCTGACATAAACAACACGAAAGATTCATATGGAAGAAAGATCTTCATATATGGTCTTGATACCTGGCCTCTCCGAAAGGGGTCGAACGCATCTCAATCCTATTCCAAGGACCTCTTTCATTCCCTTCTCAGCAGCCGGGTTCCCCATCTCTTGAGCCAATGCCGAGTCAAAACAATCCGAGCCATTGCCTTCTGCTACCTTCAACCGAATCCAATCTATCAAACCCATCCCTTCTTCCCCCGGAATCATATCACCAGCACATTTTCCCGTTTGAAGTTCCAACAAAATCACTCCAAAAGCAAACACATCAGACTTGAAGGAAAGCAATGGTTTCTTGGTATCAGCCAACTCCGGCGCTCGATATCCCAAGAGGCCAGCATCCAAGATCTGTTCCATAGTTCCGGCTTGTGTCATGAGACGATGTAGACAGTAATCGGCTACACGGGAATTAAGATCAGGCCCGTCTAATAGTATGTTTGACGCTTTTAAGTTACCGTGTGGCACGGCTCGGTCGAAATGGAGATAGTTTAGACCACGTGCCACATCAACTGCTATTTTCAGCCTCTGTTCCCATGACAAAGGTGGACCTTTTCTTCCTGGTCGGTCTGAAAATATTAGATGAGATTCATTAGAGTTATATACACACGCATATAGCTCGAGAACGACAGCCTCAGGTTCTCGGTTGAACTGGTTCAACCAGCCAATCCAGTTTTTACAACCATTTATGAAAGTATCGTATATGACAACGAAAGAGATAAAAGTTGGATCAGACAAGCATCCTCTATATGTTAAACTGTAAATAACGCATTAAAAAAGCAAGAGGGAAAGCAGTTTACCATAAAGAAAGCTTGCAAGACTTCCAGGTGAAATATAATCCGAAAGAATCAGCTTCTCGTGTTGTGTAGGGCCCCAATAGTACCCTCTCAAACCAACCACATTTGGATGCCGAATATTTGTGAATTTCTTCGCCTCCTTAGCGAATTCTTTTCTCTGTTTTGCCACCCCTTCTCGAAGCCACTTCACAGTCAAGAATACTCCATTATCCAGTGTTGCCCTGTACGAAGTCCCGTGACTGCTCCTTCCCAAAACTTCTGCTGGAGCCCGTGACAGTTCCTCAGGTGTCAATGTGATTGTCTCATCAAGAAAATGCAGCTCACCGATAAGTCGATCCGGTGATCTAACATCCAGTCTTGCAAGGTGCTCGGCAGTAAATGAATCTCCAGACTCTGGTGACCGAGATAAATGGCTGGTCTTTGAAGGAGAGTAGCCAGGCACTGCTGCCATTTTTTCACCAGGACTGATAATTTCAGATGATGATCCTTTACGAGAAGACACGACATCAACCGCCGAAACAACAGTAGCACCCCCACTCTCGGCTCTGACAAGGCTAGAAGGGTTTCTCGGTGCTTGCTTGCCAACATCTTTACTTGTAACGTGATTTGGAGTTCTCTGAGATAAACGGACGTAATTTATGAATATAGCAAGCAAGATGAGAATGATAAGCGCAACAACACATGAAACCACAATCACCCATTTCACAATTGTGTTGATTGGCTTCTTGTTTGATTCAGCGGGGCCACTGTTCGGTCCAGGACTGCTTGGCAAATGCAACTTAGAATTTCCAGGGTAGAAGGAGGAAGTAGGGAATTTCCTCAGGCTTTCCGGGACAACTCCAGAGAGATCATTGTAGGAAACATTAAAGCTTTGAAGGCCGTTAGGGACCTTATTCGGTAAAGATCCAGTAAAATTATTCTGGGATATATCTAATGACCTTAGGGAGTTCATGTCAGACAAGGAAGTAGGCAGAGAACCTGCTAAGTTATTGCCTGCAAGATTGAGCGCTTGAAGTCCAGCCAATGACCCAAACTGGTCGGGAAAATAACCGCTAAGCTGATTATGAGAGAGATCAAGAATGTGGAGGTCGGATTTACTCGAAGGAGAAAACCTAATAGCACCAGTAAACAAATTGCTCCCAAGATGAAGTTCTTCCAAAGTATCCAAGTTCAGTAGGTCATTAATAAAAGGTCCATCTAACTGGTTGAAACTGAGATCTAGGACTCTAAGCTTTGGGTACTGCAGTATCACTTTAGGTAGAGAGCTAGTAAGGGAGTTATGCGAAAGGTTGAGATGATTTAATCGCAAAAATTGAGGGGTTAACTCCGGAATCAACCCTGTCAAACGATTCTGGCTAAGATCAAGGAATTCAATGTTCCCCCATTTCAATATACGGGTTAAATTTCCTTCTAATTTGTTATTTGATAGATCTAGTACAGCACAACTTCCACTTAGTAACGGAAGTTCCCCTGTGATCCCGTTTGAAGAAAGATTGAGTATCTGTAAATTTGTCGACATGATCATGGATATTGGCCCTGAAAGATGAATCAGGAAGTATGAGGAATGGTAAAATGCATTCAACGAGACAAAGCAACTAAGTGCAACTCATAAATTAACAAAAGAAAAATCAGACATTCAAGTGTATGAATTCCCATGTTAAAAAAGCTACCTGTGAGATTGTTCCCGCTTAAATCGAGCTCGGTTAAAAGAAGAGAATCTGCTTTCAGCAGGACATTAGGAATGAAACCTGTAAATCTGTTGTTGCTGAGCTTGAGGACTTGAAGATCATATGCAAAGTTAAATCCAGGCAATTCTCCGGACAGTTGATTGTAGCTTAGGTCCAACACTTTCAAATTTCCGAACAACTGAAGCTCAGCTTCCCCAACCAATGATCCGGTAAGTTGGTTGTGGCTAAGGTTTAAAAATTGGATACTCTCGGAAATGCCAGGTAGCAATTTCTGTGGACTAGAGCTCCGCAGCATATTCATACTGAAATCAACGTGGCTGGCATTCGATAGAAGGAAAAATTCCCCAGAAAAGCTGCCGTCTAGCATATTCCCTTGCAAGTCAAGCACCTGAAGACCGGAAACAAGCTCAAACCCTTTCGGTATGCTCTTGGTAAACTGGTTGAAGGACAGATTTAGATACAGCAACCCATTCAGTTCAGTTAATGAAGTCGGCAGCATACCGGACAGGGAATTGCGACTCAAGTCCAAATATAGGATTGAAGCAAGCTCTGAAATCGTGTCGGGAATAGAGCCTGAGAAGTTATTGCCGGCGAGTGATAGATTCCTTAAGCTCTCTAGCTTACCAATGCCCAGTGGTAATGCTGAAGAAAAGAGATTATCCGACAAATCAAAGAACTCGAGACTTTTGAAGGCACCGATATTGTGGGGAATGACACCAGCAATAGAGTTGTTTGACAAGGAGAGTTTCACAAGCTTCGTGAGGTTCAAGAAAACACTCAAGTCTGCGTTGACAGAGAGACCTAAGTTATCGAGGATAACACCAGCAACATTCCCACCATTACAGACAATCCCATTCCATGAAGAAGGGCAGCCATTGAAATCGATCGACTCCTCGTTCCACGAATTGAGGACATAACCTGTAGGGTCATGTTTAATACCCTTCTTGAATTCGAGCAATGCCAGAATGTCCTGTGAGGGAAGTTGCCCCATGGCAGAAAGGAAGTACAGGTACAGCACTAAAAAACTAAAGAGCTTCATATCACTCCTATCAAATTCCCAAGTAACTTAAACACAGAGGTTCTCATACAACAACCTTAAACAAAAAATACAGAGAACGAATAACACAGCAAATTACCTAACAAAAGTGCACAATTTGACAAAGGTCATGGCTTAAAAGAGATGATTTTGGTTGAAGAAGGAATGAATGCTGATTACACAAGGAACAATCTTTAACAACCCAACATAAGCTAAAGATAAAGCATTTAATGTACGAAATCAGCTGCAACAACTTTGGACCCCAAACATAGATCTAACCATAAGAGACATAAAAATCAGCAATTTTCTTACCAAGATCCCTTCTTCATTCGACAATGTAAGCTCAAAAGAAGGGTTTTTTTAATGTGAAAAAAGCTCAAGACTCTTCAAGCAAACAAGAAGATTTGCTTGCAAAAGAAATGAAAGAGCTCGACCCTAGTGAGCTCACTCAAACAAGAAATGGGTCTTGAAAAAAGTAAAAGCAAAAAAGACGCATTATATTTATTTATTCCCATAAACTTGCAAACCCTTTCTTAAAAAAACAGTAAATTTTTTAGACTTTATTTGCTGAAAAGGGCTAAAACCCTAACTTTGTGTTCGTGACAATGACAACAAAGCCCTCTTCCCCTCCTCCACAACCTACAACCCAAAAGTGAGAAAAGGGATTTCTTTTTGTTACAACATTCTCTCTCCAAGGAAGCAAAAACCCTGCCTTCGTAGTAGATAAAAAGGCATCCTTAAAAATTATAATTAGCGGATTTTATTTTCATATGTAATGAGATAAAGAGAGGTAGAATGATAGGTTGTCTTCAACGTCAAGTTGAGAGTAACTTCCGTGAAAGACATCCGTTATAAATTGCCTTCGGTGAGACTCGATCCCACAACCACAAAGTTAAAAACTTTACGCTCTACCAACTGAGCTAAATGGATAATTCATATCCTTAAAAATTATAGATTCTGCCAATTACTAATTAAATGGTCTAAGAGACCACAGTGTGATTAGAATAGTATTTAAATTAACTATAAAGAGAAAAAAGAAAACTTTATAGACCTTAGAGAAAGGGACCGTGACAGGGAAATCTCTTTCTACAAAATAATACCCGCCAAAAAAGTAAAAAAAGGGGGAGGGTGGACGTCAAATGGGTTTATCAAATCTAGTTTAAGGTTGTGATTGCATATTGCATGGGAATGGAGCCTACCCACCAATGCCCCTTTGACCTGGGTTTGTGGTTGTCATTTATTTATTTAACCCAAAAAAAATTCAAAATGAAGGAATGAGGGAACTCTAATTACCCACCAATGCCCCTTTGACCTGGGGCGACTTTTGCTGGAATGATAACAACGGTCGAGATGGGATCATATCATCATCATCATCATCATCATCATCAAAATTCATACATTCACATCACACTTGATGCAACATAAATAAATATACACCTGTCCTCACTTCTTACCATTGCCAATATCACGTGATTTCATTTAATTTAAAAGTTGCTATTATATTCAAATGTCTAAGTTCCAAAAACTAGCCAGTCTTTGTGAAAAGAAAGCTAAAAGACTTATTTTCACTTTCAAAAAAGCCCATCAACTCACTTTCTTTTTCTTCATTGCAAGCCAATTATCCAATATCAACTGAAACAAAATAAAAATGAGGGGGGGGGGGGGGGGGGAGGGGAGCAAATCAACCAAACCCATTAACATGCGTACAAACATATTCCCAAGTCAGATCCTCAGGACCAACCGTATTTTAGATGATCTCAGCTGCAGCCTTCACTACAAGGTGAAGCTCCTGCTAGGGGACCCACAATAGGGTTTTCGTTTTGCTTCGTTATATTAAAAAATATACATAACCATTGAATTATACTAAACTAATCTTTTTATTGTTAACATTTTAAAGGTTATAAAATAGTAATCGATCTTCTCAAATAATTATTAAACTTATCAAACTACTAAAAAATAATTATAAAATAATCTTTAAACTTGACAATTTTTATTAGCGTACATTCATTCGAAAAGTTCAGTTGATCATGTTATACTTTTCAAAATTTCAATGGCCAAAAAGATTATTTTAATATAATTAGTGAACATTTGTATACTTACCCCAAAAAATAATCAAAATGAAAAGAAAAAGATAACAAGTATAGCTCAGTAGTAGTCAGTACAAAGCCCTCTTGGAACAAAGGAAGGCTGGTGGATTCACCCTCGTGGAAAACCGCAAGAGATAGTCCTCTAATTATTAGAGGAAAGCTCTTAACAAAAGTACAATTTACGCAACACAGTCAAAATGTTGACATTCAAATTGGTACATATGGTTGGATGCGATGCAAATGATCAAGTTTCTACAAAACAAAACAGAATACCAGGGGATCTGTGGGTCAATATAATCTATCCTCCTCCCATATGTGCTTATATATATATATAAATAAAAGCTCATAAATGACACAAGGATGCATACCCAATATCACATTCTATCGTGGCTCTTGGGGGTGTTTCCAACTGATGATGGTATTTAGCAAAGAAACACAAGTAGGATCAAAATGTGAATGGTTTTGACCTTTACCAGGGATGCAAGTCCCCCCCCCCCCTTTGAGTATTGCTTCATTTACTTCTTCCCACCTCCAGAGTCATTGAACTTGAAAAATATTTTGTCTCCATCTTGGACCACATAAGTTTTCCCTTCCTGCCTATATTTTCCAGCAGCCTGATCAAAAGGGAATATTGTGAGATAACAAGATGTAACTGCACCTATATGAAACCAAGCCACACTTTACATGTTAAATAAACAAACTTTGCATATGAACCACGGGCCATCACCCATAGCTCAAGATGCAACAAGCTTAAATCCTAAAATTTTGCACTTCATCTTTGATCAAATGTTAACTTACTCCCTTTCCCCCTTGAATACTTGGTATTACTTTTATTCTGAATTTTCATCAGACATTTACACAAATAAAAGCTAAAACAAGACCATTCATAGACATACTAATACTAACTAACAGCTGACTCACTTCCAAGCTCCTTCAGATCTTCGAATTTCATGACCTACACAGCACCCACGAATCAGTATCACTAACAGAAACATATAAATGTTGTCGTAGATGCTGGTAAGAAAATCAAATGTATAGGTAAAAGGAAGTATTGTCCTTTTAGTTAGAGGAACAACAGTCTACACATGACAGAAGCTTCAATGTTTAAACTTAAGCAGTAGAAAAACTGCAATTAATAAATTCCAAGCAAATGAAACAGATTGAGCACCGGAAAAGGGGCCAGTTGAAAAGCATAATTATTGTCAGTTCGTCACACAAGATAATCCCAGAGCGACCTTCAAAATGTACAAGTCACAATCTAAGACCAACCTCAGCACATATAAATCCTCTCTCAAAATCAGTATGAATGGCTCCTGCAGTTTGAGGAGCCTTGGATTGCCGTCTAATTTGCCAGCATTTCACCTGGAATAGGGAAAAACAATCAAATTATTAATTCCATCATTTGATTAAACCAAAGACGAATTCACTTAACTGCAAAGAAATCCCCAAAAAGTGATCCACTTTAGAGGAGAGCTTTAAAACATGCAACTGCATGGACCTTCAAGGAATCCAAAATAAGGATAGTCACTTAGATTACAATACCGCAACATCAGTAATCTATGATGTACCAAGTTATCAATGTGAGCAGCTATGAAAATCAAAAGACATGATCCTTATGCTTGGATACCATGCTTGTAAAAAGGAAGTTTGTCGGCAAAATAACAAATCCAGAGCACAACATTGCGTAAAAGGTCTACAAATTCAATATAATGATCTTAGATCAAATTTAGAAGCAGAAAATACTCTTTACACCCTTCACACATTGTTAATATTTAAATAGAACCAGGATTTTCCAAAAAATGTAAATATGAACAAAAGAATTAGACACCTCATCTGGTCCTTCTGTGAAGAAATATATGAGATTAATTGCAGAGAAACCAATCTTGGTCTTTGGAAGAGTGTCACAATAGGAGAAGAAGGACAAGCAATCGAAGAAGAATAGGGGATAGAGAGGCAAGGGGATAGAGAGGCAAGGGTTAGGGATTGAAAGAAGAAATTGGGAACTGAATTAGCTGGCACGTGAGAGGCACGAGAAAATTAATTCCAGCTGATCCAGAAGCCATATGAAGTCAGCCCAAACTTGGAAGCCTGTCACTTGCTGAAGATAATAGATTCGGTTTGCAAGGACAACCACCTGGAAAAGTTAGATTCTCTAGTACTATTGTAAACAAATAAAACCAATACCCTGTATTGAATCGATAAGCATATTTTGAATGAAAATATAATTTCCTCATCTCTTCTCTCTTCTTTTTCCTACGTTCTATTCTCTATTATTCTCTATTCTCTCGCAAGCTATAACAAAGAGCATTGTAAAAAAATATTATTTAGCATCATATACACAAATACAAAGAAAAAGGAAAAAGTTCAGGTAAAACATCAAGACACCAAAGACTATCTAACCATGAGTCTTGAACAACTCAAACTAAAAGCATTCTAAACCCCTAATAACAAAGAGATCATTTTCAACTAACCTTTGCATCTTGATTTCCTCACAATACTTTGCAGCTTCAGCAGGTTCCATATCAGCAAGGTTCCTCTCAAACACATCGCTAAAAGGAATGATAGGTTCACCACCATGTTCTTGCAACCTGTCAAAGATAAAACAATTCTCATTCAAATTGAGGAGAAAAAAAAACCTTGATAATGTAAGTATGATATATACAAAAGCAAAAAGAAAGTTTTCTAACACCAAGAGCTGCTTAAACCAAATTGAACACTTATTGGTTAAATACATTTTTCAAACACCCTAATAAATATAAGAGTTGCTGCACTATTAGAGTTCAAATTACTCTTACTATAGCATTTGAGTATAGTTTGGGGTTACATGGGTCATGCCTATAGATGATCTGGTTGTTACCTTTAAGAAGGATGTAATAATAAATTACTGGGATTATTAATTTTTCGATTTCTCCCCATTTTTCCTTGGTTACCTTTCCTTATCTTCATGTTTCTCCCCAATTCCCTCTATTTTCTGTTGTAATCTCTAGCCTATCTTATTTACCACTCATTTCTTATCTCAATAAAGGCCAATATACAACCTAAATATTAGTGTGATCATCTCACTATGTTTCCAGGCATTATATAGAAAAAGCATATGTGAACCTCAACTACTGAGACAAACACAGGCATAGGAAGAGAGCATACCAAGCATGAATCTTTGGTAAGAACTTGTTCTTTTTTCTTTGGTAATCTTTCTCAGACATGTTAACCTATATATTGAATAAACGAAACTACTTTCTCTAAAATATTAACATTATAAGACATGATACATTTGAACCTTTCCCATATTATAATAAGCAACTGCACCACACAAATCGGTTAACGGGTCAACAACATTAAGCAAAAAGCCCAGACAGCTAGAAATAATGACAGTCTGTAAAGCAAATGAACTCCAGGTCTTCTATTTTGAAATACTTTTGAAAATCCATAGTAAGTATACTATACTTCATCTATGAACCCATCTATAACTCTGAGAATTGATAAGGTATCCAGACAACTAGGTTATACCATTTAACTCGTCAGATCATTTAGGTAGTAATGGGGAAATATTGTCACTGATAGTTATATATAGATAGAGATGCAGAAAGCAAAAATCATACAAGATAGTAGTACACCTTACTTAACAGATGACAAGTAAATATTACAAGTATAGCCGAACGAAAAGGAAAATAGAGGCATTGAAAAGTAAAATAGAAGGAACACCAACCAATTAAACAATTGGCTTCACACTAAGCAATTAAAAAGTATTCAATATCTCAATATCAGCTGCTTTCCAATCCCCTAGACGAACACGTTTCCCATCTTCAATCCATGCCTTAACCTGTAATATAACAAGCAAGATAATTTTTGGCATTAATATAACCCATCATAAGCAAATTTTTCTATATAGCATAAGCTCATATACAATGAACATGATAATCTGATTAAATGCATACATGACTGAGCTACCATAGTCTTTACAAATTACCATAAAAAATAAAAACTAGATAAAATGTAGACTTTATGTCCAGTGGCAACAATTAGTCTTTGCCAATGATTTTTGACCACTGCCATTGTCATGGTCTTCAGTATTTGAACTTTTGAGCACAATTTTTTAAATCAGTGTTTGGGTTTGATTTGAGCCTATCTTTTAGGTTGTGGGCCTAAGGCCATGAACCTTAGGTGACAGGCTAGCAACTTTTGGATCATGATCTCTGGTGATCTTAAGTTTTGGAGTAAATGTTGCTGCTAAAAGTAGGAATTCCAGCATCAAAGAACTACTATAAAGAGAACACAAACCTGCTTACTAATTTTTACCCCTAACAATAAAGGACTAAATTTTGTAAAAAAGATAAAACCAGAAAAATATCAAGATGTACATAGACAAAAGGGCAGCCACATAGAATAATCATGAGATAAATCTCCTCTATTTATAATTCATAAGCAACACCAATAGATAAGGACCAGTAAAAGAATAAGACCCACAAAGAATGGCAGAGATAAGATGAGATAGTAATACCTTAATTTTGTCTGAGCACCCCAAGTGAAATCGAAGACATGCAAGGACCAATTTAAAGTGTGTCGAGAAGTAATTCGATTAAACAGGGTGGAGAGAGAAAGTATGAGTGAGAGAGTGAGAGAAAATTTGAAAGGAAAAGGTCCTATAGTGAGGAATGGACGGCTTTTATGGATAATCTTAGCAAGAGAGTCTCTAGGAGAGCGTTAAGGGAGCTTTTCCATCATCAAGGTAAGGTTCTGAGGGTTTATATTCCAAATGTGTCCAACAAGCCCAAGTATATGAACCATACATTTGCGTTTGTTCAGTTTGAGAAGGAGGAAGGTTTAAGGAAGGCGATTGTGAATATCAATGGAACGTAGATAGATGGCAAGAGAGTTTCTGTCAGGGCTATAAAATAACAGAATCATCGGTCCAGGTTAGATGTTTATTCCAAGTCTAAAAAGGAAGAAAAGAAGGTAAACAAGGGTGAGACCAAGAGAAGAAGTGAAGGAACATAACTTTTGGGCAGTTTGAGGGATGAAAGATCATACAAGGATGCTTTGGTTTGTAATGGAAGGTCGAGGGATGATCAGGTGTTAAAGGATAATAATGTAGGTCGCGAGGGGAGGGTCTCGGGCATTAGAAATGTATGTGAGATGCACATCCCTTCAGTTGAATCAGATTGGGTCAAAAGGTCTTTAACAAGGATTATCAAACCTCTCTTCAAGTTGGAACTGGTTCAAAAGGGGCTGGAAAATGATGGGATAAATTTTAAGATAGCCAGCTGGGGCTATGTTTGGAATTCTTGCATTGTCACTTTTAGTTCGGTAGAAGAACTAGCAGAGATGTGGTCGAAGAAAAAGGAGGAACTACTATTTTGGTTTCAATGGTTAGAACATTTGCTAAATAAGGAATGTATCCCTATGGTATTTTATTCGGTAGAAATGATTGGAGTTCCTTTGTTATGCTGGAATGTTTCGTTCTTGGAAAATATTGATGGCCGGTGGGGAGAGCTGAAGAGTATTCAAGAATCGACGGTAAAAAAAGGACATGTCAATAGCAAGGGTACTACTGAGGGTGGTGAGCCCTTTTGATGTACCAGAAATGATCACGTTGAGATTTATGGAAGATCTTTCAAGGTTAAAATTAAACTGGGATCAGTTTATAGAAGACATGAGGTTATGTCGGAAATATTATCAGAAGCTACTGCAAAGGGTGAGAATAGTGAGGCTGCAGTGTCAGAGGAAGAGGAAGAAGAAGGTGCATTAGAAAAAGTTGGTAGATCTAACCTGGCAGTACATGATACTAGGATAAGGGTGGACACGTGGTTGGAAGGGGGAGGATTTTTTGAAATATCAGGCGGTAGTAGGGACCAACAAATAATGTGGCAGAAGAGAGAAGGAAAACAAAGCAGAGCTGAAGTGTCAGAGTTTATTAACTTTGGGAAAAAATACTCTGGAATTTTCAGGCAATAGGTTTAAGGAAAAAAGTTAATTTGGAGAACAGTTGTCAAGCCCAATCATAACACAATTGTGAGCCTATTTCCATAGATTTCAGATTGGTTCCGTCTGGGCCTGTGTTGAACATAGGAAATATGGGCTATAGAGGTATAAATGAGATTCAGGTTAAGAGTCCAGAAGTGGTGAAAAAGTCTGTTCAGATAGGAGGTGATCGAGGGAAAGACTCAACTGATGATGGTGTTTGTCGAGCTGTGACAGGAAATACTGCAATTAGAAGGAGTTCATCACCCCCACATTTGAATATTAGAAGATCAATTAGTTCTAGCACTATTTTCTATGACAGAGTATATAGTCGGTCGAATAGGAAAAAAGTTACAGAAGAATCAGAGATGTGGTTTTCTGAAATGGATGTTTCGACAGAAAATGAGGAATTAATGTCTACTTGGCAGGTGAGCAGAATGTTAGGTGTCACTTTTAGGGGGGGAAAGAATGTGTTTGCTCAGAAATATTTGGATTTGAAACCGGGGTGGATAATGAGATTTAATCTCATTTCTCTATTTTTAGGTGCATAAGATTTTGACAGTATGATTAACTTTTCTTGTGTTACATGGAACATTAGGGGTCTAGGGAGGAAAGAAAAGGAGAGGGTAATAAGAACAATGGTTGTTAACAGAAAACCACTGGTTTTATTCTTGCAAGATATGAAAGTTGAAGCGGTGATACCAACTTTGTTGAGGAGTTTAGGGGGAAGACGCTTAGTGGGATCGCGGTTTCTCTTGCAGAAGGAACTTCTGGTGGTCTGATGAGCATTTGGGTTGAAAATTGTTTTGATTTCGGGTGTTAGAAGTCTTGAAAAGGTTTGTAGTAATAAAAGAGAAATTCTAGGATACACAAGAGAGCATTTGTTTAGTTAATGTGTACGGACCAATTATTGAATTGGAGAAGGAGATATTTTTTGAGAAATTTCTTAGTTTCTTGGCAGAGGTGGATTATCCATTATGTGTGGGAGGTAACTTTAATTCTTATTTTTCTCAGGAGGAAAAAATTAGTAAATTGCAAAATTGGCATTCGATGAGAGTGTTTTGGGAATTTGTATTTCGACAAAATTGGTGGATTTACAATTGACGGGTGGTTATTTCACGTGGAGTAATAATAGGGATGAACCTTCGTTTGTTAGATTGGATAGGTTTCTAGTGAATGCAATTTTTTGGGCAATGTTTTCAAATATTGCTCAAATCCTACTTCTGAAGTCTTTATCGGACCATAATACAATAGTGTTGGAGAGGAATGAGGTCAATTGGGGTCTGAAGCCATTCAAATTGTTCAATTATCTTATGAATGAAGATGGTTTCCAACAGATGATGGAGTTTAAGATTAAAGAGGTGAATAAAGTAAAAAATAGTGGAATTGAATATATGTTAAAAGAATTGAAGAAATCAATTAAATGTTGGTCCTCTAATCAACATCTGGAATTGCCGAATTTGATTGTGATTCTGGAAAAATCCATTTCTGAAATAGAGACAGTAGTGCAACAGGGGTCTGCTCAGGTGTCGATGGAGGATATTACGAAAGCAAAGAAGGAGTTGTGGTCATTATACAAAAAAAGGAACATATTTGGTTTCAGAAATCTCGAGCGAAGTGGATTCAAGACGGTGATCGGAATTCTCGATATTTCCATCAGTGCGCATCAAATAGGGGAAGTGTTAATGGCCTGAAAATTTTGGAAGTCAATGGAATAGTCATTTCGAATCCGACTGAGATAAAAAAAATGTCTGTGGGTTTTTTAATAAGAATTATAATTTAAAGCCAATTTTAGAGGCAGTGAAGTTTGATTTTCCATTCAATGTTTTAACCGAGGATCAATGCTCATTGTTGGAACGAAAGTTTTCAGAGGAGGAAGTTTGAGAGGTTATTAATTTGACAGATAACTTTAAGGCGTCAGGTCCGGATGGTTTGAACATTGGGTTTTTAAAAAAAATTATGGCCATCATTAAAGCATGATATTTTGAAGTTCTTTGAGGATTTTTACTTGAGAAAGAAGTTAAGAAATGGTGTGAATCATACGTTTATCACGCTGATTCCGAAAAAGTCAAATCCGGTTGGAATTGAAGATTATATTCCAATTAGTTTGGTAGGAGGAATGTATAAGATTTTGTCAAAAGTGCTATCTATGAGGCTAAGGATGTGTTTAGATTCACTAATTAGCAATTCAGAATTCAAATTTATCCCGGGGAGGCAAATCTGCGATTGCTCTTTTATTGCGAATGGAGGCATCGACTATTGAAGAAAAAAA